AACTTCCCTCCCTCCCTCCCAGCCTGGGTGAAGGTAGTTTTAGGCTTAATGTTTTTATCTTATAAAATGTCAGACTAAACTTAGCAGAATATATTTTGTATTGCTGGACTCTTTGTAATTAATTTGAGTGTAAACATCATATAATTTGCACAAGAGATAAATTTGTTTGTCCTTTAGTGTAGTACACGTAAGTACAAAGCGAGTACAGTATTATGTTGCTCAAAATTATGGATTTTTAACATTTAATTTACATTTAATATATGCTAAATTTCAGTTTCTAGCAGTCCATGGTGCTTTAGGGAGATGGGAGGTGTATAATTAGTGGGTCAGAGGTGTATTGTTAAATTATTGTGTGACCTCGGTTGGTCCGGCAAAACGGATAATCCGGAAAGACTTTGGAACCAAGGATGCCTGAAAATTGGTGGTTTACAGTCACCAAAAAATTTTCTGCACCTTTATGGTGTTATACAATATGACACACCGGACCAAGAATTCTGAACAACTCTCATTTACGCTGGTGATTCCTGTTAATTTCTCTGTATTAACTATATGTGATATAAAAAATACATCATACTGGTTATACAATGCATCACACAACCAGAAATACCAACCTTACCAAATTAACGTGGCCTCAGCCAGTGATCGTTGCAGATGCCATCAGACCAAGGGGTGCAGAATATTTTTTGCTGACTATACCTGTAACTAAATTAGGCCTACCATAATGGGTAGGAAATGTCTCACAATCACGCCTAACAACTCTATCGACTCAACACGGTTGTTCAGTTCCAAATTCATCTGACCCTTCCGGGTGTACCTGTAGTGCTTTGTTATCTTTAAAAAAAAAAAGCTACAGGTTGAGAATCCCATATCCGAAATCCTAAAAACAGAAAACCTCCGAAATCCTTACATTATGTGTAGCGCCTAAAATAATTCCACAAGGCTTTTTTTAAGTTGCCGCACAATGTGTGGGTCCCAACGCACCACAGAGGGTTACAAGCATAACCTTATCTACCCTAACTGGGTTAGGGTGGTGGCTGTTGGTGCCAAACACCAGTTGTTTAGCACTTACCACAGCTAGATGTCAGCGCATTACTCAGTGATTTTTGTGATTTTTCTGTGGTTTGTCGCGTGAATACAATATACAGTTTACAATGTCGGAAAGGCCTGCAGGAGCTCCTAACAGTGAAAAGAAAAAATACGTATTTATGCTCATCCATAGCAAAAAAAGTTGAGTTATTGCAAAAACTTGACCGTGGTATAAGTGTGAGGCGACTCATTGAAAAGTTTGAGTCGGAACGACCACCATTTATGACCTGAAGAAACAAAAAGACAAGTTGTTAAAGTTCTATGCTGAAAGTGATGAGCTGAAGCTTATGAAAAATAGAAAAACATTGCATAAGGCGAAAAATTAAGATCTTATCGTGTTTTGAAAGAGTGAGCATTTGCCGTTTAACGGTACAGGTAGTTCTGCTATAACGCAATAATTGTGTTCTTGTAAAATATCGTGTTATAGAAAATCGCGTAATAGAAATAACGGCTTATGGAGAAAATAGGGTTAGGTGCAGATTACTCGAAATTGAAAAAATTTAGTAGTTAGCCTAACACAAAGGATAGCACAGTCTAAATAAATGTTACATTCATATCTAATAATGAAATCATACAGTAAATGTAACACTTTACTTGATGGGGGAGAAGGGTGATTTTGAGGTCGATAAAATCGAGCTTCTCTTCAAGTGTTATATCCTTTCTTTTACGATCATCACCGGGAATTCTATCACCAGAACGCTTCTTGTTGATATTCTTCTTTACTATATTCACAGTTAATACCACAAAATTGGAGAAATAGTAAACAAAAATCGCGTTATAGCAAACAAGCGTTCGCGTTATACAAATATCGTTCCTAATTCATAAATCGCGTTAGAGCAAATTCGCGTTATCAAAACACGCGTTATAGCAGAACTCACTGTATGCTGATCATGAAATAAGCAAATATTTATCATGAACTTAAAATGGAAGGTAACTGGTTATTTAAAAATAACCTTTTGTTGTTACTCAAACGACAGCAGCGTAGGTGGAAACTGGAAGCCTGTCATTTTGTGTTTGTCAACAACTGGTACTGGTATGCTGCTTCATTATGTAGGTTGCACACATTTATTTCATTATATTCATGGTATAGGATACACTGAATAGGTTATATAACAAATTTTACTAGGTTAAGCATGAACTTGTGATAAATTAATGAATGAAGGTAAGACACAGATTGCGCTATGGTAAATTTCAGTGGCAGTTACAGGTGGGCCTACGGTAACGGGAGCTTACCTTTCTGATGGTTCAATGTACGTACTGTACATCTTTTTCTTATTGTTTCATGCACAAAATTATTAAAAATATTTCATTAAACTATTTGCAGACTATATGTATCCATATTCTGTAAATGTGATGTACATGAATTTCATGCTTAGAGTTGGGCACAGTCCACTCTGGGCGAGGCACACTCACGCGCCATAGTTTCGATGCACCCTCTACCCCTACGCCTGGCTCGAGGGAAGTCATAGCCAGGACTGTAAACCGAACGGTCCCTCTTGTATAGTGATGTTAAGTACAGTGGTCCCTCGGTTAACGAACACAATTCGTTCCACAGAGTCGTTCGTTAACCGAATCTATTATTTCACTAGGATATTGGGTAATTGGTTCCAACTCACAGAAGAGTACATACGAAGTATAAACAAAATGCAGTACAGTACAGTACATTTACTTTGAGGTGTGTATGTAGAATGTTGCTGGTTGATGATGGTGATGGGAATTAGAAGTTGGGGTGGAGGAGGAGAAGGGAGAAGAGAAGGAGGTGGGGGTGGAGGAGACGGGAGAAGAGAAGCATTTTAATGCTTCTTGGAAGGCGAGTCACCTTCCATAATAATATCAGGAAGCTCTGGACTGACAGATTCTCCGACATGAAAATCCTCTCTCCTTTTGGAGAGGAACCCTGAGGGGAATCATCTTTCTCACCCATGCTTCATGCAGTAATTTCACCACTAAAATTTTAAGTTCACTAGCTGTAATTAAAGATTATTTTATTTAAATCAACACTGCACTGTGCTATATATTATGTTAACTAAACTTTATTCTGACCAATAATTTTAATGAAAAACGTAAAAATACTCTGTATTCAAGAGACCAACAAACACGATGTTTCCTCCACTGTAAGCAAAGTTAAACAGAGACGCTTTGGTGGGTGAGTCAAGCGGCTGATGGGCGAACAAAAAAACTAGTTCCATGTACTGCTTATATTATCAGTATGTTTAAAAAAAATTAAAATGACTAATAATTTTAATATAAAAAATGCAAAAATATTAAAGAACACAACTTTCTTGATATTTACTCCACTGGAAACGAATGTAAACATAGAACCGATTACTGTATTGGCGGACTAGCTGATCAGCTGATGCTCACAACAAAACGTGTTTGTCGTAAGGATTTCGTTAATCAAAGTTTTGTTTGTTAAGCGAACTGAATTTCCTTATGGGAGCTAATTCGTTAATCGAACCGTTCGTTAACCGAGGGACTACTGTACAGTATAGTGATGGTAAATAAAGTGTTGAGAAGTCACTAAAAAAAGTGTATCATGCATATATTCTCTCAAATATTACATCATGAACTGCTATTTGTACAATCCAGTAAAGCTTCGAGCTACCACAGTGCACCACTGAACGATGGGTGGGGAGAAGTGAGAGGGGGGAGACGTTTGGTATGAAGCCAAGGCTACAACTTCCATCGAGTCAGGAGTAGGGGTAGAGGGTGCATCGAAACTGGCGCGTGAGTGTACAGGTATCCCAAAATCCGAAAAATCCGGAATCCAAGATGCATTCGGCCCCAAGGATTTTGGATATGGGATTCTCAACCTGTACTACATACAGTACAGTATACAATTCTATTCAAGAAAGTAGCAGAGAAAAGCTATCCTCCTGTTCCTCACAAGCACATTTAGTGCTCATTATTTCAGAGCTCAAATAAATTTATAATTAGATTCTAAGTGAATGTTGGAAAAGCGTCAATCAACCACCGAACAATAACAAATATGGCACCCACGCTGGTCGCTTACACAGCTGAGCTCTTTTGTACCAAATTTTTCAAAATTGTCGTACATTCATCATTTCTATACATATTTAAAAAAAAAATTGTACAGTACCTCGATTATCCGACCCACCCCTCTCCCCATATAGGTTGGTTAAACGAGGGTTTACTGTACCCCTGCATGTCCATCATTACAAGGAAAAATGTTGCAGGTGATGAGAAAGAGGCGGAGTGTGCTTGTGTTTCAGTTACACACTGGAGAGTCAGCGGCATATTAAAATTAAATCACGCAAAAATACGTTTTTAAATGTTATTTCGTTTGAGTCACTCATTGGTATCACAGGAACATGAGCGGTTGGCCTGCTATCACGCACAGGCGCATGGCAGGACCACGAGTGTTTATAAAATGTGGACCCTGGTTTAGCCAAGTTCCAGAAGGGACAATATTTGGCTCTTCAGATAGTGTAGACCAGCGATTCCCAACCTCAGGTCGTGACCAAAATCTGAGTCGCAAGGGGCCCTCAGACAATTTAAAAAATATAGTACTTATCATAAAGTTCAAAAAATTTTTGCTTAACATTCAAGCTATATAATATATTATATGCCCGAAGGTCACGACACCATATTGTTGGGAAATTTAGGGTCACAGCCAAAAAAGGTTGGGAACCATTAATGTAGGCGGTGGTGCTCCTCCAATCTTAGGTGGGCATGAGATGAAACTTGTGTTTTATAGGTTGAGAGTCCAGCTAGTTTACACTTCACTCCATGACAGCTGTGATTAATTTTTTATTATGTAAATAAAGAGAAAGATTTGGCTTTTACCATTCATATTTCAAATTAGTGTTGTTTATATGATAAAGCGGTTAAATTTCTTCCATAAAGTAATTATTTTATTGTATCGTATATTATTTATTTTATTTGTATTTTAGGTTTACTAGGCCTCAAGCAGGAGCGAGTGGATCATCTCTGGCCAGCAGCACGAGTGCTTCTTCATCGTCTGCATCATCAACTAGCAACAGTTCCCCTACATCAAGGTCATCCTCAGCACGACCCTTGTTGGAGGAAGAGCTAGATTGATGTTAGGTGGAATTTGTCATATTTAAAGTTTTCTGTTGTTTCACATTACAGTAGCACTACAATTGCTTGCTCAACTATACTGGTGTTCAGACATCTACACAGGACTAGTATTTCAGGAGATATAAGAAATACTCTTATGTATACTGGATGAGACATTCATAAGAGTGTAAGTATTAATAAGGATAATTTTGAAAATTAATTAAGAAATGGCCACAAGTTATGATCAGTGTACATTTGTTTGAAGTTGTGTATGATACAGATAGTTCACTTGTGTGGCATTTTATTTTATATCATGAACAATCAATTGGTTTTATGTTTATTGCAAATCATGTATGTGAAATGAGCTTCATAAGACTTCAGTACTAAAATAATTTAACCATTTTTTTTGCATAACTGTACACTTATTGACTGTTAGTTATTGTAATTACACTTTTCCATATACTGTACAGTAGTATGATAATACACAAGTGTGTGAAGAACAATACTGAGGAGTAACATTACTGTTGTGGATAAAATTTTACGAAGTGAATTTTCATCGGACATAATAATCAGCTTTCAAGGAGTCAAAATTAAATAATTGTCCAAGTCAGTACAGTATGTTCATGAATTATCAGATAATGTGAAAATTTCAACAAGACTGAAAAGCATTAATGTGAGTATATAAGAGCCAAAGTGATTTTCCTTCATGAGTACTGTATTCAAGATTTATGTGTATTCTTTTTCTGCATTTTAATTAGATTTATTATTTCTGTGGTATGTGACATACAGTGAAACATTTATAATTTTTTTAAATTGTTAGCTCCTTATCCTTATAGGAAATTATATTTTGTTTCATGTAGAGTTCTGCAGTGTTATGAAAGGTTATTTGTAAATAGTCCATGTAAATGAATATTCTTCAGTTTCAGATTTACATTGTGTACAAAAATAATTTAGTAATCTAGCCCCAAATGCACTCTGGCTAGTCGTCTAATCACATGGTTTTTTGGGGGAATGTACTATATATGCTTCTTGTCAATAAATATTCCAGAAGATTATTTTTGTTTCACCAGATCAGTACAGATAGTCATTTAGTGCAGCTTAAATCAGTTAATTTTGCTTTTTATTAATCTTATTGTTGAGAAACTATTATCAGTTCATAGTTATATGATTTACATCTAAAAATGTTCAGGGAAAAGATACATAATTTACTCCCCGAGTATTTCTTTTTTAATAAGCAAAATCCCCCAGTGTATGTTACTATCACATGTAGGTACTGTTCTCCATATGTTTGTATCTTGGCAGTATTCTTGCAGCTGGATGGTTAAATCAGCATATTTTTCCTTCAGGTGTCTGGAATGGGACAAACGGGAAGCCACATGTTCACGGTTTCCTTAGTTGATCGTGAATAGTTCGTGGTACGGGTAATCAGAATGGGCTTGATGTAATATTTGGGGTGACAAAATAATTTCTATAACATGGGTTTTTATGAGGTGTTTGTCATTGTTAGCATTTATCTCATTATTCAGGTTATCTCAGAATGAGAGTGCTAACCTGAGTGTTGTATCATTGTTTGTAACCCCTGTATTTTTTTTTATTAATTTTTTTTTATCATAGAGCTGTAAATTTTAAAGGAATCCATAAAGGCTAATTTAATTTTCTCAACAAAAAATTCACAGTAACTGACATTCTAGCTATTATGCTAACCAGTTGAATACTGTGAATCTCGCCAATCATCTTCATGAAGGCATCAATAGGAAGTCTTCGTTGGGGCAATTTTGAAGAAAAAGTGATGTGACTGATTAGGGGTTTTAGCATGAACTCCTGATGCTGTTTAAAGTGATGAGACTGACTCAGGAGAGGAGCCTAGGACAAACTGGTGTTCTTTCCATACCAGTTTTAATTAAATAATTTTATTCTTTACTGTACAATTTTTAGCAAGAAAAAAAATAGTAAAAGCATTACCATACACCTAATAGAACATCTTTTCAAATTACATTGTATTTATTTTAAGACAAACCTGTTTTACTTGGATATGGTATAGTATATTGATTCTTTATTTGGAAAGGGTGGTTGCATCAGTTAAGGAGAATACTGTACTAGGAACTAGAAATTATAAATATCTGTATGAATGAATTACAGTATGAATATGTAAAATACCATATATACAGTAATACAATTGAGAAGCCAGTATCACTTGTATGTTACATTGTCAATTTGGTTCACTTAAAGCACAGTGATGAAAGCAGATGGCAGTTCATCTGTATCATTCTTGCTGAGACTATTGATCACCTTATTTTTCTGGACATAGTTACTGGGATTGGTGATACAGCACTGTACTAGTAGTTCTACTTAATTGCTGATCAAACATGCTTCCTGATAAAATGGCAATGAAAAAAGTAGTTTTTATAGAACCAATAGGTTTTGGTGACTAATTGAGGTAATTTGATAAATAGCATACTTAAACCTTGTATACCAGGGGAGCATTAGAGTGGCATCCCCTTTTCCCCAATCCCATTGGACCTGCCAGAGTCTAGCCAACTCCATGAAAGTTTGGCCCAATTAGTTGAATTTTGAACTAGAACTTCTTTGAAAACAATGAAAATCATGCTGTTATCACCTTATGGTAAATTAGATATTGTTTACAATCATCATTGTGAGGGTTAAGTAAATAACACATTTCCACCAACTGTACTTTGTCTTACATAATCTAATTGTTAAATATGCCTTTTGAGCTGATAAGTTATAATACAATATAAAAATAATGTATTTGAAATGCCATTTTGACATGTTGAAAATACTTTATTTTTAATTAAATACCCAAAACTGCATTTTTTCCTTAATCATTTTCCGAGTGTGAAAATTTAGTTTGCCAGGAAGCTTTTGTTTATACAGTACCTAAAATTGCCTTATTTAATATATTATCTATTATTTACCCATTGATTTTTCTGTTATGTGACAGTCCAGTCATTACCTAAGAAAATTCTGGAGAGAAGGTTTAAGCCACAATTAAACTTAAAAGTACTCTACTTGAAAAATTTAATTACAGTATCAGAATTTGTCAACTTGTTTGCATTTATAATTCTTTCTTTTGGCTGTCCTAAAACTAACTTCATCATGATGACTGGTGTTGTATTTTAAATTATTAACTACATTAATTACCAAAACAATGACTGAATTTCTTGTTGGTTACCAGATTGTTGGGATTATCATTAAGGCATTTTTACAGAGTTCTTGTACTTGTATAAGAGTTGCCATCTTTTCACTTGGAGTCAGTAATTTACATTTGCAGAGTATTTAGTTATAGCCTGCCAAAACCTGTGTCAGGAAAAGTCCATATTTATAAATATAGCAAAGAAAGGGTTAAAGATGAATTTCATTAACATTCCCACAATTAGAACATACATTTCCAGATAACCAAAGAATATTGGTCTAGAAAAATGTGTTGTTATTGGTCTCTTCCACTTTAATTTTTGTAATGTGATATCCCTGTTAGCTGGAATAATAGGTGCAGAGAGGTTCTGGGAGCGATAAATTTCTGGGTATGGAGATGAATTTTCTCATCCTCGGAAAAAATTCCACATCCCCAGAATTTTTTCAGGTAAGGGAAGACCTTGTTATATGGAATTTCAAACTCCTTTATATGGAAATTCACTCACGGCAATCAAATTTTAGTACCCCCAGGTTCGTTATACGGCCCAAAATTCCGCAGTTGCGGATTTTTTTGGGGGGAAAAGGTAACTACTGTATATAAAATACCTTGCAAGCTAAAAAAAAAAGAAAGGGGGGAGGGGACATCCAAACTTCATTCAAAATTAACTCCACATCAAATAAATAAAGAAGCACCCTTAGTCAAAATTGCCATCAGTACTACCATTACTATCATTACTGCATGTCGTCTACCCATGAGTTTGTTTACAAGAATGAAAGTTCAGTGAACTGTACCTACATGTCTGAAGCCCTTTCAGTGATAATAAAACATTGAATAATTTGCTATTATTATTTGTGGTAAATTTAGGAGGGTAAATGTGAACACATGTTTGCGTTACTGAGGTCTAGAAACCAAACATAGTTATAATCATTTTAATATAGTGATATCTCCATTAGCCAAAACAATTGGTGCACAGCACTTCCGGCTTATGAAAAGACCAATTTTATTTTTATCTCGCAATATAGGACATTTTTTTTTACAAGGACTTAGACAATTTACTGCAGTACAATGCTGCAGGTGGCAGGTCAAGTTTACATCTGGGGCCACACATGCTGGCAGAGGCACTGTCACTGCAAGTGTTATAGGAGAATCTGCCCAATAGATTTCATAAACACACTAAATATAATTCAGTTATGCTAATTATCATGTACTGTAATTAAAATCTAATTCACATCATTACCTTGATTTTTTTTTAAATGAAGTGTATTTGGTTGTAGAGTGGTTTTGTGTGTTTACACCATCTCTCAACCACCTGACCTCAGTCAGGATGGTCTGATCACAGAAGTTTGAATGAACACTCGGTAAAAAAATAAAGTATCTTTACAATTCTTGTGCAAAACAAAATGACACCAGGAACAAAGGTTTTTGATAAAGGCTCTGTGAGGCATACTGTTATTCACCAATCATATTGCAACAAACTAGTTTTATATTTTGAATGAAATAACTAAATTTTAGGCCAACCATAATAGGTAGGAAATGTCTCACAATCATGCCTACCAACCCTTCACTTCTAAATTCATTGGACTCCTTCTGAATCATACTTTTTTACCAAGTGTACTGTACATTTTAGCAACTGATGTTATTTCTGCATTAACCTCTCACAGGAATCTGACCCTTTCTCTTTGGAATTTTCAAGTTTTGCTATTCTAGAACCAAACTGAATAGCTCTTTTTGGTAAACCGGCAGCAGAGGACAGACCAAGGTGAGCAGCTGCCACACGCAGTATAAACTTCTCCCCTACTCCACGTGGTAACTGCAAGTTGGCCTTTATCCAAATTGGGAGAGAGTTTAGTGTTGACACAACATCTTCATCCAAGTACGGAAACCTGTAAGAGATGATAGTCTGTTGAGCTTTCTTATATGTATACTTCCTCTATTTCTTTGCAAAATTAACTAACGGGAAAACAGCAGTTCTTAATTACAAGATAATAAAATAAAAACATCAAAATTACTCACAGGAAGGTATGGATAGCTATTAGTTAAGTTTATGCTTGTAATTTAATGATTTTACAGTGCAGTACACCTGTACTTGTATGTAGCATTTTCTATGCATTCAAATTTGGGTATCTGTATCAGGCTTGTTCTTCCTTCAGTGGTGGTGGTGCCATATATACAGTCATGCACCGGTTAACGCCGTGCCCCCAAAAAAAATGACGCCTGCTGGACCACCACTCCACGACCCCCTGACGGAGACACGATGATCCTCCCCATACTAGTCAGATATTATGTGCTAAAGGAATATGATTCCTTACTTAGGCTTTTTTTAAGCATTTGCCTACAGGTGAAATGTTAACCTACATCTATTGAGGATAAAATCTTTCACCTACAAATTGACAATAACACATTTGCTGTAATCAGACATATCTAGCTGCCTCAACAATTGCAACCCCAGTTGCAATTGGGGTTGCAATTTCAAATTCTGTGGCATTACTAAAAATAGTAAAGTTTCTGGTGCACTCTAAGATTAAGAGAGAAAATGGAGGACTCAGGCGTCCTGATGTGAGAGAAAACGGACTCGTATTACAGGGGACCAAATAAAAAAAGCATAGCTACATGTTTTGTGGACTACAGTATTAAGCGTACCCTTTTCATCACTTTGTAATAAACCTAGCCATTCCTATGTGTGTTTATGATATTTACCATAACATTATATATGTATATTTAGTGGTTCTAAATGATCGTAAAATGTTCACTGCAATACAGTGGTCCCTCGGTTAACAATGGACCTAAGTGCAAACCTGTATTGTACATGTATTAAATGATTACAGTACTAAAATTGTTATGTCTATTGCAAATACCTGTATAGCTTGTTTATACAGGTATTCAAATAAATTACTATCTTACAAGAATCCAAGCTATGTAAGTTATATTCACCCAGGTCGTTTGGGTGGCAAATTATGAGAAGAGCTTAGTCACTCTTAAGTAATGATAAATAAACACCCAGGCCTTCAGCGCCAACTGTCAAATCTTATCTCAAATAAATAAAGACACTGTCACCTCACCTCACGCTCGGTTGGCTACCTCCCTCCCTGTGTTCCCAGACAAAAGAGTGGTGATTTCTTTATGTTTATTTTATATAATATCTCGGACTAAAGTGAGGATAATATAATTTGCATTGCTGAAATCCTTGCAAGACAGAGATTAATTTAAATATAAGCGTCATATATTTTGCTCAAGATATAAAAATGTAGTACATTAGTGTAAAATACTGTAGTACATTTTATAAAAAGTTTTTCAACTGTATTTTTGGGTAGATCTACATAAATTTCTCCATTTATTTTCATCCATTTACATGCACACACCATACTAAAAGAAACATAAAAGAAATAAATGACCTTAGTGCAAAGCTGGAGTGCACATGTATTAATTTGATTACAGTACTAAAATTGTTATTTCTAGTGCGAATTACAACATGTTTATACAGTGACCCCTCGGTTAACGAACTCAATCCGTTCCAGAAGGTCGTTCGTTAACCAAAAAGTTCGTTAACCGAAACCATTGTTTCAATGGGTTTTTGGGTAATTGGTTCCAGCTCACCGAAAATTTCCTAAATTCCACAAAAATGGTAGAAAAGTTCACTTACTTTGAGGTGTGTATGTAGAAGGCTCCTGGATGATGATGATGATGATGGGAATTAGAATGGGGGTGGAGGGGAATTAGAATGGGGGTGGAGGAGAAGGAAGAAGAGAAGGCATTGGGGTGGAAGAGAAGTCACCCCATGGCACCATTTCACCTATAAAATTTTAGTTCTCTTGGTGTATTTCAAGATTATTTTCTTTAAATCAACACTGCACTGCATTATATATTGTCAATATGTAAAATATATTTCAAATTGACCAATAATTTGCTTGGAAACACAGAAAAAAGCGTTTAGTTGAAGAGTCTCAAGCAAGATGTTACCTCCACTGAAAACAGAGAGAGACTAACGCCTGTCTGGTGTGTTAACAGGCTAGATGGCACGCCAGAAACTAGTTTCTTTACCTTCAATTATGTTCAATAATTGTTAAAATGACTAAAAAAGTTAATATTAAACTTAAAATTATTGAATAGTATAAACTTCTTGATATTTACTAAAACAGTAAGGAATTTAAGCCCTAGAACTGATTAATGTATTGGCGGACTGATACTAAAGCTGGTTGCCCGGCCAGTGCAAGCGAAATCATGTTGAGGTCGGTTCGTAAGAAATTCGTTAACCGAATTGAAGATTCTTATGGAAGGCAGTTCGTTAACTGAAATTTCGTTAAACGAGGTGTCACTGTATTCAAATAAATCAGTATCTTACAAGAATCCCAGCTATGTTAATTATATTCTCGTAGGTCATATCACTGGCATTTTAAAATGAGAGAAACTCAGTGGGACTGTTAAATAAACACAGAGACCTTCGCCTCAAACTTATCACCTCAACCCCCCACCCCCTCCCGCAACCCCTCGCTGGGTGGCGTGGCTGGCTCCGTCCACCCCCCCCTCCCCCCCCAGCCAGGCTTTTAGGCTTACAGTTTTTATCTTATATAATATCTCAGACTAAAGTTAGGATAATATAATTTGCATTGCTGGAATCCTTGCAAGACAGCCAATAATTTGAATATAAACGTCATATATTTTGCTCAAGAGATAAAATTTTTTGTACATTAGTGTACAGTACTGTAGTACATTTTATAAAAAAGTTTTTCAACTGTATTTTTGGGTAGATTTACAGAGATTTCTTCATTTATTTTCATCCATTTACATGCACACACCATACTAAAAGAAACATAATAGAAATAAATGACCTCAGTGCAAAGCTGGAGTGTACATGTACTAAATTAATTACGGTACTAAAATTGTTTTGTCTAGTGCAAATTATAGCATGTTTATATTCAAATTAATCAGTATGTTACAAGAATTCCAGCTATGTTAATTATATTCACCCAGGTCATTTCACTGGCTTTTTATAAGAGAGAAGCTTAGTCACCTAAGAACTTATATATATTAGACCTATTTTCGCGCCAACTGTTGAAGCAATACTACCTCCTCCCCCGCCCCTCGCTCGTTACCTCTCTCTTCCCATCTGCTGCGGCGTTGCTGGAATCCTTATAAAACAGTGAATAATTTTTTAATATAGCGTCATATAATGTATTTTGCTGAGATAAAGTGTCCACCTGCATCACGTGGTGCGTGATTTAAACAAAAATTAACCTTAATATGCGTATATAGTATTCCACACCTGCGTAGTATCAATAAAAAGTTTATGTGATGATCGGACAGCGTCCATTTTGGATTAACGTCACGTTTCCAAGAACGTATCTAGGACGTTAACCGGCGCATTGACTTAATATTATATATATATAAACGCGGTACATATATATACTTCATTTAGTCCATATACTGCGGACTTTGAACATATAATCAACGACCTCACCAGCGAATCGAACCCTCGACCTACTGGGTGTGACTAGGGAAGCTTACCGGCTAGGCCACAAGGACACTAAAGCAGTTCTAGACTCTGTTATATTTCACACAAAGCCTGTTCAACGAGCTGATGGGCGCCGTGAACCTCAATGAAACTGCCCGTTCCTCTTATGTGGTGTCAGTAGCATTTGCGAATCCAGCTGGTATGAAGCGAGGTACATATATATACTTCATTTTAGTCCATATATCAGCGGACTTTGAACATATAATCATACCAGCTGGATTCGGTAATACTGTCAACTCAACTAAAAATAATTCGCATTCTACTGAATTCGGTAAATGCTACTGACACCATAGAAGAGGCACGGGCAGTTTAGCAATGAGGTTCACGGCGCCATCAGCTCGATGAACAGGCTTTGTGTGAAATATAACAGAGTCTAGAACTGCTTTTAGTGTCCTTGTGGTCTAGCCGGTAAGCGTTCCCTAGTCCCACCCAGTAGGTCGAGGGTTCGATTCCCTGCTGGTGAGGTCGTGGATTATATGTTCAAAGTCCGCGTGTTATATGGACTAAAAATGAAGTATATATATGTACCTCGCGTTTCATACCAGCTGGATTCGGTAAAATGCTACTGACACCACATAAGAGGCACGGGCAGTTTCCCAATGAGGTTCACGGCGCCATCAGCTTGATGAACAGGCTTTGTGTGAAATATAACAGAGTCTAGAACTGCTTTTAGTGTCCTTGTGGCCTAACCGGTAAGCGTTCCCTAGTCCCACCCAGTAGGTCGAGGGTTCGATTCCTTGCTGGTGAGGTCGTTGATTATATGTTCAAAGTCCGTGTGTTATATGGACTAAAAATTAAGTATATATATGTACCTCGCGTTTCATACCAGCTGGATTCGGTAAAATGCTACTGACACCACATAAGAGGCACGGGCAGTTTCCCAATGAGGTTCACGGCGCCGTCAGCTCGATGAACAGGCTTTGTGTGAAATATAACAGAGTCTAGAACTGCTTTTAGTGTCCTTGTGGCCTAGCCGGTAAGCGATCCCTAGTCACACCCAGTAGGTCGAGGGTTCGAGTCCTTGCTGGTGAGGTCGTTGATTATATGTTCAAAGTCCGCGTGTTATATGGACTAAATAGAGTATATATATGTGCCTCGCGTTTCATACCGGCTGGATTCGGTAAAATGCTACTGACACCACATACGAGGCACGGGCAGTTTCCCAATGAGGTTCATGGCGCCATCAGCTCGATGAACAGGCTTTGTGTGAAATATAACAGAGTCTAGAACTGCTTTTGTGTCCTTGTGGGCTAGCCGGTAAGCGTTCCCTAGTCCCACCCAGTAGGTCGAGGGTTCGATTCCTTGCTGGTGAGGTGATTTGATTATATGTTCAAAGTCCGCGTGTTATATGGACTAAATAGTATATATATGTAC